CGGGAGGAGTGGTGAAGGTGGTAAGTACGTACCTGCACTCTGGGGGTGTGAAGGTGGGAAGTCAGTCCCTGCACTCTGGAGGGTGGTGAAGGTGGAAGTACGTACCGCCTCTGGAGGAGTGGTGAAGGGGGGAATTCGTCCTGCATCTGGAGGAGGGGTGAAGGTGGGAAGTACGTCCCTGACTCTGGAGGAGTGGTGAAGGGGGGGGAAGTAAAGTCCTGACTCTGGAGGAGTGGTGAAGGTGGGAATTTACAGTACCCTGCACTCGGGAGGAGTGGTGAAGGGGGGAAGTACAGTACCTCACTTGGGGGAGTGGTAAAGGTGGGAAGACAGTCCCTGCACTCTGGAGAGTGGGAAGGGGGGAAGTACAGTACGCACTTGGGGAGTGGTGAAGGTGGGAAAGAACAGTACCTGCATTGGGGAGTGGGAAGGTGGAAGTACATCCCTGCACTTGGAGGAGTGGTGAAGGTGGGAAGTACAGTCCTGCACTCTGGAGGAGGGGGTGAAGGTGGGAAGTAAGTACTGCACTCGGGGAGTGGTAAGGTGGAAGTACAGTCCCTGCACTTGGAGGAGTGGTGAAGGTGGGAAGTACGCCCTGCATCTGGGGAGGGGTGAAGGTGGTAAGTACAGTACCTGCACTTGGGGAGGGGGAAAAGGTGGGGTACAGAACCTGCACTCTGGGGAGTGGTGAAGGTGGAAAGTACGTCCTGCACTCTGGAGGAGTGGTAAAAGGGGGGAAGTACAGTCCCCTGCACTTGGAGGAGGGGGTGAAGGGGGTAAGTACAGTCCTGACTCTGGGGGTGGTGGGGGGGGAAGTACAGTACCTGCATTGGGAGGGTGGTGAAGGTGGAAGTCAGTCCCTGCACTCTGGAGGTGGTGAAGGGGGGGTAAGTACAGTACCTGCACTCTGGAGGAGTGGTAAAGGTGGTAAGTACAGTACCCTGCACTCTGGAGGAGTGGTGAAGGTGGAAGTACAGTACCTGCACTTGGAGGAGTGGTAAAGGGTGGAAGTACAGTACCTGCATCTGGAGGAGTGGGGGAAGGTGGGAAGTCTCCCTGCACTCGGGAGGGGGGTGAAGGTGGGAAGACAGTCCTGAAATCGGGAAAGGTGGTGAAGGTGGGAAGAAAATCCCTGCATTTGGGAGGAGTGGTGAAGGTGGGGAAAAAAACGTACCTGCACTTGGAGGGTGGTGAAGGTGGGAAGAACAGTCTGCACTTGAGGGGGTGAAGGTGGGAAGACAGTCCCTGCACTCTGGGGAGTGGTGAAGGTGGGAAGTACAGTCCCTGCATTTGGGAGGAGGGTGAGGGGGGAAGACAGTACCTGCATCTGGGGGGGGGGAAAGGGTGGAAGTAAGTCCCTGCCTCTGGAGGGTGGTGAAGGTGGTAAGTCGTACCTGCACTCGGGGGGGGTAAAAGGTGGAAGTACGTACCTGACTCTGGGGAGTGGTAAAGGTGGAAGACTCCTGCCTCGGGAGGGTGGTGAAGGGGGAAGTACAGTACTGCACTCTGGAGGGGGTGAGGGGGGAGTACGTCCTGCACTCTGGGGAGTGGTAAAGGTGGGAAGACAGTACCTGCACTCTGGAGGAGTGGTGAAGGTGGAATACAGTCCCTGACCTGGAGGTGGGTGAAAAACAACTCCCTAGGGATTTTAAAAAAAAAAACCCCCCTTTTTAAAATTTTTTTACCCCAAAAAATTTAAAATTAAGTGGGAATACAATACCTCCCACTTGGAGGAGTGGTAAAGGTGGGAAGAACAGTCCCTGCACTTGGAGGAGGGGGTAAAGGTGGGAAAAACGTACCTGCACTCTGAAGGGGGTTTGGTGAAGGGGGGAAGTACAGTACCGACCTGGGGAGTGGTGAAGGGGGAAGTACAGTACCTGCATCTGGGGGTGGTGAAAGGTGGAAAAACAGTACCTGCACTCTGGGGGTGGTGGGGTGGGAAGTCAGTACCTGCCTCTGGAGGATGGTGAAGGTGGTAAGTACGTCCCTGCATTTGGAGGTGGGTGAAGGGGGTTTAAGTACGTCCCTGCACTCTGGAGGAGTGGTGAAGGTGGTAAGTACAGTACCTGCACTCTGGAGGAGTGGTGAAGGTGGGAAGTACAGTACCTGCACTCTGGAGGAGTGGTGAAGGTGGGAAGTACAGTACCTGCACTCTGGAGGAGTGGTGAAGGTGGGAAGAACAGTACCTGCACTCTGGAGGAGGGTGGTAAAGGTGGAAGTACAGTACCTGCACTCGGAGGGTGGTTTGAAGGTGGGAAGTACAGTCCTGCACCTGGGGAGTGGTGAGGTGGAAAGTACGTCCCTGCATCTGGAGGAGTGGTGAAGGGGGGAAAGTACAGTCCCTGCCTCTGGGGAGTGGTGAAGGTGGGAAAGTACAGTATGCACTCTGGGGGAGTGGGGGGAAGGGGGAAGAACAGTCCGACTCTGGAGGAGGGGGAAAGGGTGGTAAGTCAGTACCGATCTGGAGGAGTGGTAAGGGGGGGAAAGAAAGTCCCTGCACTTGGAGGAGTGGTAAAGGTGGGAAGTACAGTAATGCCTCTGGAGGAGTGGTGAGTGGGAAGTAAGTACCTGCACTCTGGGGAGTGGTAAAGGGGGGAAAGTACGTACCGCACTTGGAGGGTGGTAAAGGGGGGAAGTACAGTACTGCACTCTGGAGGAGTTGTGAAGGGGGGAAAGTACAGTCCCGAAATCGGGGAAGAGTGGTGAAGGTGGGAGTACAGCCCTCACTTGGAGGAGTGGTGAAGGTGGGAAGAACAGTACTGCACTTGGGGGGGTTTTGAAGGTGGGATTTACAGTACCCGCACTCTGGAGGAGGGGTGAAGGGGGAAGTACAGTCCCTGCACTCTGGGGAGGGGGAAAGGGGGGGAAAAGTACAGTACTGCACTCTGGAGGAGTGGTAAAGGGGGGGAATTCGTACCTGCACTCTGGAGGGTGGTGAAGGTGGGAAGTCTTACCTGTCTTGGGGGTGGGGGAAAGGTGGGAATACAGTCCCCTTGTATTGGAGGAGGGTGGGGGAAAAGGGGGTGGTAATACGTCCCTGCACTCTGGGGGGTGGTGAGGGGGTAATACAGTACTTGCACTCTGGGGGTGGTGAAGGTGGTTAGTCGTACCTGTACTTGGAGGGTGGCGTGGTGGTAAGTCAGCCCTGACTCTGGAGGAGTGGTGAAGGTGGTAAGTACGTACTTGCACTCTGGTGGAGTGTGAAGGGGGTAAGTACAGTCCTGCATCTGGAGGAGTGGTGAAGGTGGTTTTAAGTACGTACTGCACTCTGGGGGAGTGGTGAATGTGGGAAGTACAGTACTTGCTCTCTGGAGGAGTGGTGAAGGTTTAAGTACAGTACCTGCACTCTGGAGGAGTGGTAAAAGGTGGTAAGTACATCCCTGACTCTGGGGAGTGGTGAAGGTGGTAAGTACAGTCCCCTGCATCTGGGGGGGTGGTGAGGTGGTAAGTACGTACCTCACTCTGGAGGAGTGGTGAAGGTGGTAAGAAAGTCCCTGCACTCTGGAGGGTGGTAAAAGGGGGAAAAGTCAGTACCTGCATCTGGAGGAGTGGTGAAGGTGTAAGTAAGTCCTGCATCTGGGGGAGGGTGAAGGTGGTAAGTACGTACCTGCACTTGGAGGAGTGGTGAAGGTGGTAAGTACAGTCCTGTACTTGGAGGGTGGTGAAGGGGGTAAGTACAGTCCCTCATTTGGAGGATTTTTGAAGGTGGTAAATACAGTACCTGCACTCTGGAGGGTGGTGAAGGTGGTAAGTACGTACCTGCCCCCTGGAGGAGTGGGAAGGGGGGGAAGTACGTACTGCACTTGGAGGAGGGTGAAGGTGGTAAGTACAGTACCTGCATTGGAGGAGTGGAAAAAGGTGGTAAGTACAGTACCTGCACCCCGGAGGTGTTTCGAGGGGGTCACTTGAACTGTACAACCGGGGTCTCAGACAAGAGAGCTGCAAACGTGATGGTAAATGTGTTTCCCGTTTCCTTTCGAGTCACCTTCTCTTGCTGGAAACGGCCGATGCGGTAAAAGTGTTTTTTGGGTTTTTGGCTGGCGGGGAGACTAAAAAATCTTTTTTGAGAAGTTTTTTAGAATAATAGCCCATAGTTTTTGTGTTTTTTTTTCATCTGGGGGGGGGCCCCCCATCTTTTTCTTGTATCTAGAATCTTAAAAGTTTTGTTGGGTGGGGTGGTTCTTTTTCCCCCCCCCCCCCTCTTCCCAAGTACCTTTAGTGGCACCCCCCAGGGCCCTCCGGCACCACCCTTGGAGGTCCTCCATGCTGTGACTGTCAAAACTGGAAAAAGATCTTGCAAACGGGGTTGCAGCTCTCGTCCACAACGGACCGGGTCTGATATCAGGCTGTTTTTGGGGATGTAGGCAAGCTCCTTACACAGTAGCCCCGTCACCTGCAGTAACTAGTTTCCCTTGGGGTTAGTGACTATTGGGGCTGGCATCCCAAGGGGAGTCGTACCACGACTGGCTAGTTTCTGAATGTCCTTGGGCAAATAATGTGTGTATACATGACCCAGGAGACCAGAATCAATGCCTGAACGAAAACAAATGATACGCAGAAACTGAATGTTTTTTCTTAATGTTTCAGTTACAAAACTAGTCTCAGGTTCGGAAATGTAAAAAAAAAAAAAAAAAAAAAGACACATATAGGCCTCAAGAAAATTATATTAGTCCAGTCTGATAGTAGTTATAAGTGTATATTTCGGTCTCACAATAACCACTTCTTCAATAGACTGAAGGGCTCTTGTGTGCAGACGAAATATTGACCAGTGTATATTACACACTTGTGTTTATAAATACGTTTTTAAAACTCTCTTGACTTCAAATGTTAAGACTTTTATTGTTTTCTTTATTATTTAAATGACCTTTATCTCCCTTTGTTTACAAAAGGTCTTTATCTCTTCCTTTCAGCGTTAAATAAGACTTTTATCTCATTTTGTTTACAAGACATATTTGTCTCCCTCTCTTTTAATGTCTTTTACGACTATTAAACACAGATTCTCTTGACTTTTGACCCCTGGCAGTGTGTTGGGTCACGAGGGCTGCGGTGTGGTGGTCAGGTCACACCGTGAGGGTGTGAGTGTAGGTGACCGTGTCACTTGGGGCATCTGTGCCCCTTGTGGCACCTGCCTCCCCTGCTCTCTACACCTGAATAACAAGTGCACCTCTGTCGTTAAGGTGAGTTACATCTGCCTTCCCCTGCTGTCTGCACCTGCCTTCCTCTGCTGTTTACATCTGCCTTTCTCTGCTGTCTACACCTGCTTTCACATGTTCTCTAAACCTAGCACTCCTGCTCTCTACACCTGTCTTACCCTCCTCTCTACACCTGTCTTCCCCTGCTGTCTTCACCTGCTCTCTACGCTTTCCTTTCCCTGCTTTCTCAACCTTCCTTTTCCTGCTTTCTACACCTGCACAACAAATGCACTTTCTCACCCAGGTGAGTTATACAGATGGATGACTTAAGTTCACAGGCAACAAATATAGTTGACAGGTAGAACACTCGCCTCACAACCGACATGACCCAGGTTCGATACCCAGGTGAAGACGAGACGGGTGGGCATGTCTCCTTACACCTGTCGCCAGTATTCACCTAAAAGTGAGGTACCTGGATGTAGGTGTGCTGAGGCCTCTCCTACACCTGATGTAGAGGCAGTACACAGGCTTGCACTGTGAGGGCAGGTTTATACCCCGTGCCCAGAAAAAAATACCCAGTGGCACTTAAATCATTTTTTTTATCTTCTGTAGCTGGGCCAGACGCTAGTGTCTTCAGTGGCACTCTTTGGCACTTACTCCACTCATCTTCTGTGTCTGCCAAACACTCCCATCGTGGCCCTCCGCCCGACCTCACGCCCACCCTCGCTGCCCCTATCAACTGCGCCCTGGCCACCATGGTTAACGCCCTCTCCAAGTTGCCTCCTACGCCCACGCCCGGCCAGCCAGGAGCCTCGGTGGCTCTGGTCCAGGTAGGTACACTTGGTGCTGTGGTCCAGAGAGACAAGTCTGTGGTCCAACTCGGGATTTGATTTCTGTGTTGCAGCCGAAGTGGCTAGTTTACTGTGCACCTCATATCCATCCTATGGATGGTACTACATCTAGATTTATATCTAAGGTTCACTTATCTGTTATAAGCAAAATTTTTTTAATATATCTGGTATCTAATTTTCTTAATATATCTGGTATCTAATTTTCTTAATATATCTAGCATCTAATTTTCTTAATATATCTGGTATCTAATTTTCTTAATATATCTGGTATCTAATTTTCTTACTATATTTGGTATCTAATTTTCTTAATATATCTAGCATCTAATTTTCTTAATATATCTGGTATCTAATTTTCTTAATATATCTAGCATCTAATTTTCTTAATATATCTGGTATCTAATTTTCTTAATATATCTAGCATCTAATTTTCTTAATATATCTGGTATCTAATTTTCTTAATATATCTGGTATCTAATTTTTTTAATATATCTGGTATCTAATTTTCTTAATATATCTAGCATCTAATTTTCTTAATATATCTGGTATCTAATTTTCTTAATATATCTGGTATCTAATTTCTTAATATATCTGGTATCTAATTTTCTTAATATATCTGGTATCTAATTTTTCTTAATATATCTGGTATTCTAATTTTCTTAATTTTATATCTGGTATCTAATTTTCATTAAGATATCTATACCATTTAGGGTTTTATATTTTCTCTATATTCCTCAAAAAGTGAACAATTAAGCACATAGTGTTTAAGATATAAGCTGGCCACATACTTGCATTTAGTGTAATCCTTATTTGTGTCTCTGCCAAACTGCCAGAAGTAATTATAACAAACATGAGCCTGGCTGCTACAGGCTTCCAGAAGTGCTTGTAACAAAGCCTAAATCTGGTCACTAAATCAGTCAGTCTGTTCATATTTCAAGTTATCCCCGTAATCATAGATGGGGCAGATATGTGATATAAAATAAGCACATCTTCCACATAGGGAGGTGAAATGTTCATCCATAGAGGGGTGAAATGTTCATCCATAGAGGGGTGAAATGTTCATCCATAGAGGGGTGAAATGTTCATCCATAGAGGGGTGAAATGTTCATCCATAGAGGGGTGAAATGTTCATCCATGGAGGGGTGAAATGTTCATCCATAGAGGGGTGAAATGTTCATCCATAGAGGGGTGAAATGTTCATCCATAGAGGGGTGAAATGTTCATCCATAGAGGGGTGAAATGTTCATCCATAGAGGGGTGAAATGTTCATCCATAGAGGGGTGAAATGTTCATCCATAGAGGGGTGAAATGTTCATCCATAGAGGGGTGAAATGTTCATCCATAAAGGGGTGAGATGCTCTTGTCTGCAGTAATACAGTTCGTGCAAGTTATAAATCTTAGAATAATTACATGTTTTCACAACCCACTTAGATCTACGTGTGTTTACTTCTAGACATTTACTAAGACTTTTAGTGATTGTCTGGTTCATCTCTGGATTACTACTGATGAGACATACATAAAGTAATTTACACATTATTATTTTTCAGATTTTGTATTATCATTATTATTATTGTTATTATTAGTAGTAAAAATAGCAGTAGTAGAATTAGTAGTAGCGTTTATTATTATTATTATTATTATTATTATTATTATTATTATTATTATTATTATTATTATTATTATTATTATTATTATTATATTCACGAGAAAGCACTAAACCGTAGAGATCAATAAGTGGTAATCAGGTTTGCTCCGAGGAACGAAGGATAGCTGTTATTCCTTGGATCAAGAGCTCTTCACCAGCACCGGACACCCCGTCCCCCATCCAATCACTAAGTCCATCATCCTTGCCCATCAGGGAGCTGGTCTGATGGGCGTGTACTGCCTGGCCCTCCTGAAGGAGAGAGGCTTCAGGAAGGTGTTCTGCGTGGACCTCAGCAGGACCAGATTGGCCCGGGCTGCTGAATTCGGCGCAGTAGCCCTGCACCCCGACAATGGTGAGTTACATGGTGGGAACACCCGCTGTGTGTTGTTACGCTGTGAGGCGAGGCGGGGGGATGGATAATGTGGAACCACACTCGGTCATTATAATTACGAACTTATGTGGGGTAACAATGTATTTTAGATGATTGTTACAGATCGCTATTCACAGATGCTGGGAGTGAGGGAGGGACCGAGCAGAGTGGTACCGAGTAATGCTTGTGGTACATAGTAACGTGTTTCTGATAGAATACCAACAATTTTAGGAATATTCTTAGATCTGTGTTGGGTGTGAGTGTTGAATCTCAGTTTGTAGTCAAGGGGAATACCTTGGCACCGTGCCTGGTGGCTAAAGCTCTCGCTTCACACGGCAAGGAAGCTGGGCTCGATACCTGGCGAGGGTAGAAACATTGGGCGTGTTTCCATACACCGGTTGCCTATGTTCGCCGTCAGTAAAATGGGTACCTGGGTGTTAGTCGACTGATGTGGGTCGCATCCTGGGACAAAACTGACCTAATTTGCCCGAAATGCTCAGCACAACAAGCGGCTTTCTATATGTCAATGATGTCAGCTAGGTCTGCATACCTTGTACATGTACTTGTAGAAATAAAGATATTATTATTATTATTATCATTATTATTATTATTATTATTATTATTATTATTATTATTATTATTATTATTATTATTATTATTATTATTATTATTCCTCTTCTTGTCTTTTTATTTTATATTTAATATTTTTTTCACGAACAACATATAGAAGGTCTTGAGAGTGATGTAGAAGGTTTTACGAGCTCCTCGTTGACGGTGTTGCTGAGGACAACACAATCTGCGACTCTTATAACGAAAGTTGTGTCATCTGCAAACAGGACTCATTAAAGTTCCTGAGAGGTGTTAAGTAAGTCGTTGATGCGGTTCATGAATGATGGAGGACCTAGGACGCTGTCCTGTGGCACCCCTCTGTTGGTAGGCTGGGGTTGTAGTTGAAGCACAAAGATGTGATATATTGTGATAAACAACAGTTCTAGCATCAATGGCCCTCAAGGGAGGTTCTTTGATGTCAGTGAGCGGCTGTTAAGCCAAGGAATTGGACTTGCCCTCCACTTCCTTGGATCGAATCCGAATGCCTCCAAGGCAGTATAGAATCTGCCTCCCAGGCAGAGTCTAGCATATAGTATATTACACCATCACTGGTATTTTTTATGTTTTGAAGCTAAATTAATGAAGGTTAAAAGTATTTTCTGTCGTTATAAATGTATATATTTGCTTATATATTATTATTTCAAAGATTTGGGAAAAAAGGCAAGGTGGTGCGTCGCGGCTTTATCTTTATTGGTGTAACTCGTTCTACCTGATGTATGTTTGTGATTATATCTGGAGGGATTTTGGGGGTCAACGCCCCCGCGGCCCAGTCCGTTACCAGGGCTCGTGGTGGATCAGGGCCTGATCAACCAATCTGTTACTGCTGTCCACACATAAACTGATGTACGAACCACAGCCCAGCTGGTCAGATACTGACTATGTGCCTTTTTATCGCCTTTTTGAAGACAGTCAGGAGTCTATTGGTAATCTCCGTTATGTGCTAGAAGGCAGTTTAACAATCTTGGGCCCCAATGCTTATTGTGCTGTCTCTTAGCTTCTCATTGGGGATATGTTGCACGTCTGCCGAGTCTTATGCTTTCGTAGGGTGTGATTTCCGTGTGCACATTTGGGACTAGTTCCTCTAGTTTTTTCGAAGTTTAAATTTTTTTTTTTTTTTATATTTATTTAAAAACCAACAATAGACAATAGAAAAAAGGGAAAAACCCAAAAGATGACAATATAGAAAAAAATAACTGAAAAAAACGTTACATTAGATATTGAAACATTAACGAATAACATTACAATTAAAACAAATAGACCACAAACCCTACTTTTAAAATCGATACCAAAGTTTAAAATTTGTCCTATATACTACATGTGGATAAGGAAACTTTCGCAAAAACATGCAAACCTTTTTAAACTTCCCAAATTAATCACCCTTGCTTTTAAATTTTTACACTAAATAATAAAATACAAGTATAATAAAGAGCAGTTTGAATCAAAGAACTTTTAAAAATTATCAAAAATTTTTACCCTAACCTAAGCCAAATTTATTTCATTTTTTATAAAGGGTCAAATAAAACCGAAAATTTTACCACTTTTCCCCAAACCATTTTTTTGGGTGTACATGTACAACCTTGTAACCATCAAAGAAAAAAAAAAAAAAAAAAAAAAAAAAGGGGAAAACCCACTTCCCCTTTAAAATCAGACTTAAATTTTCCCTACATTACACATATAAATAAGTTTTATAAAGTATGTTGTCTAAGTGAAAAAAAAACACTTACAAACGTCATTATAAATTCCGCAACTCAACCATGAAAAACTTCATCCAATTCTTACAATTCAAGGGTTTAAAAACTCTTAAACTACATCTTCTTTTGGCACCAAATCAATTGTGCTTACAAAAATACAATTGAAAATTAAACTGGAACATAAAAACCCTTTTTGACATTAAAACACATTGTATCAAAACCCATAAATGCGAAGAAAAAATGTATTGTATATCTTGAAAATGTTCATGAGAAAAAATTAAAGTATATACAAGAAAAATACAACAAATTAATACATAAAACAAAATAACATATCAAAATAAACACATACATACCTACCATACATACAAAAATACACAATACAACACATGCATAATATACACACATACATATTTATAAGTCGTAATTCCAAATAAACTGTTTTGTATTGAAAACTCAAAACAATAATGTTAAATTGCCCCCGGGGGACATACTCAATAACATTCATCAAACTCATTACGCTACCGACCATTCTGGGAAACCACCCATTTCATCCCCCTTACCTGCCTTTTAAACCCCGAAACCCGTAAAGTGAAATTCTAAAAACCCTCTTTTAAAACCCCTCCCCCATCCCCCCCCCATACACTCCTTTTTTTCTACACTTTGTCCTAAAAAATTTGGGGCTTTTAAAAATGCTTAAATTTTTTCACACCGTTCGCTCCTCCCCATACCCAAGACATATAAATAAAAAAATCCGTAATTATATCCCCTTACCCATTCTCTCCCCACTGATTCACCCCCACCTAGTTAAGCTTAAAAACCCTCAACACCTGAAAAACCCCCCCCCCCCCAAACCCTTATTACCTTTCCCCCAAACCCAAAACCCTTATTAGTTCTACATTCGCAAAAATACCTATATTTGGAAAAAACAGCCCCCCCCCCCACAAGCCTTGCATACCCCATCCTCCCGATTCTCTTTAGGAATAAAACCATTCCAGACGGTAAGACCCCTTTAAAAAAATCTAACATTACTTCTCGTATTTTGGGTTTTTAAAAAAAGTAATTTGTTCAAACGCCCCCAGATTTCGCCAATCATACATCGGAAAAAACCCCTTTCACCACTGCACCCCCCTGCCTTACCTTCCACCCCACAAGGTTTCCCAATTTAATATGTGAAGGATCGCCAGTTTATGAGACCCGTAACTTTGCCCACCAAATTATGAACTCCCCCCACCCACCACCGTTGCATATCCACGTATTTTATAAAGGCCGCCTTCCCCCCCCCCCCCTCCCGCTTATAACTATTTTTTTTCAAATACACACCAAAATCCTCTTTCAACAGCTTTAAGCCCACCCTCCACGGCCAAAAACCGGGAGGTGAAACCGCCCCTACCTAACCTTTTCGCTTCCAGTCCCCAAATGAACAAAAAACGGGGTTTTTTGAAACCCTTTGTATCTCACACGAAGTATGGGATATATTGCTGCTACATCCCAAAGTTTACTATATAATAGGACATTCGTTGTAATTACTCTTTGATGCAAAGTTAAGTGTGCAGCTCGAAAACCACGAGGCGTTCAGAAACCCCCATCTACAATACGCACTAAATTTATTTGTTGTGCAAATTTGATTCACTTCATAAACGATCCCACATACAGTAATTGGCCCACCTTTTTCCACCTTTCAACTACTTCACTTCCTCCTTAACCTATCCCCAAAGATCCAAAACTTCGTTTCCCCTTTTAATTGACATGCAGAACCCCTTTTTCAAAAACATTTAAAATTTTTCCACCCGAGGCAAACCGTTCCCTTACAAAAAAATCGTTTTTTCATCAACATATCCAACAATGCCACCCCCCCACCCCTTTCGCCCCAAACCCCCTTTGCTGCCAAAAAGGCCCAAATTTCCTCTATAAAAAGGGATCCTGTAAACACGAAAAAAAAATTTTTGTGAAAGGGAAAACCTTGACGTAGACCCCTGCTCATCAAATTTTGTTCTCCAAACCTTCCATTTACCTGCACCCGCAAGGATGCATCTTGTACATTAAATTTTGGCCCATGATATAATTTCCTCTCCAAACCCCTGCCATCTCATAATCCTTTTCCCTAAGCTTCCCTTTTACACTACTATGCCGCCTCCCCAAACTTAGCCAACACCCCCCCCCTCCCCAATTTTACTCTTTCTTTTAATAAAACTTCTAATCAAAAACCCTGCCCGTCATACATAGACCCTTTCCCCCCACCCCATATGTCCCTTACGATCACTTTACCCAGGACCCTTTTTTATTCTGTTAGAAAAAATTTTGCAAAATTTATAATCCCACACAATAACGAAAAACAAAGATAGTCTTTAAACTGTTAATGGCTCCCTTTTGGGACTAAAACCCACAGCCCTCCGCTTCTGTGCCCCTAAAACCCGTCCCCCCTTAATGATATTGAATAATCTTACCCAAAAAATTTTTTTAAAAACGCTCCAATTTTTGGGGATAAAAGTAAATGGCAACCCATCAATTCCGGGGCCTTTCCTAATTGCGCCCCGGATAAACTACCCAGTCTCGCACTCCGTTTTGGCCCTTCCAAAACGAATCGATCAGCTCTGCAACTCACCTGCACAAACCTTCCCAATTTCTGAATGCATTTACTTTTCCCACACTTTGCGTTTTCAAACTTAACCCCAAGCAACAAAACCCACTCTACCCCATCGTCGCAACACCTGGCCACTTTATACCCCTTTCATACCTACCGAAATTTAAAAACCCCTTAAAACCCTTCCTTCGACGTGTTTTGACTCCCCAAACACACGGCGGGGGCCCATCTCCCCACAAAAACCCCCCCAATCCCCCCCCCTTTTCTTTCCCCATCAAAACCCCTCATTTTGTAAATTCCGGATATTTTCCTTAAAACTTTTCATTTCAAAAAAGGATAAATTGCATTTAATTTTTTGCATAACATCGCGCAACTGCCCCCCTTTAAAAATTTTTTGAAAAACCCTATTGTAAACGATTTTATCTCTTCCCCCCGTTAATAAAAAATTTTCCTTTTACGTTTTTTTGATTGTTTCCCACCAATTACCTGGGGACCATCCCCTGGTGCTTTTTTCCACTAAACGATCCCAAATATGTCCAAAAGACAAAAAATATCCTTTCCCTTTTAAAAACTTTCTTCAATTTCCCCAAAAATGGACCCCCCCGAGGGACACCCTCAATATCCAAACTATTACCATCCTCTATGATCCCAAAAAAAAAACCCCAACTATCACACCAACCCCCGACATAACCGCACTAGGGACGTACATTCGGTCCAACCCCGCCCCAAAAACCTCGTTTAATGAAGGTATGCCTACCATCCCCCCCCCCCCCACACTCCTTAAAAAACCCCCCCCCGTCAATATATCCCCCAATAACCCAAACAAACCCCCCCCCTTGGGGGCCCCATTTTAGACGATCAAAGCAATTCCAATCTCCGCCTATTAAATTTTTCAACATTTGGGGAAACCACGTAAAAAATAGCCCAAGTCCCCAACAAATTTAGTTTTAATACCACGCCCCTCAGCCGGACCATAAAAACAAAAACTAAAGGGAACCCCAAAGTTACCCAAAATTTTCCCTCCCCCCCCCCTTTATAGTTAATAAAGGCTGTTTTTTTTAAAAATGGCAGACCCTTTAAAAATGTGTTTATTAACTTTAACCCCTATTCCCAATTAAAGGTAAAATTTTTTTTTAAAAAAATACCACAACCCCCCAAACCAAATACCCTTTAAAAAACTTCCCCAACCCAACCCTTAATATTAAAATAAAAAACACAAAAAAAAAATTTTTTCCCCTTTTTTTTCCCCCATTACTTTAAAATTCTTTTTCAACAAATTCTTTCCCCCCAAAAAACCCCCCAACCCCACCTTCCCCCCCCTTTCCCCCCCCAAAATTTTTTTTCCCCCTCCTTTTCCCTAAAAAATTATTTCCCCTTTCGGTTTTTAATTGATTTTTAAAAAGAAGCCCTTCCCTTTCACCTCCACCTCACTGCATGCACCTTCAACCTGTAGACTCTTCGCGACAAACCGTCATCTTCTGCCATAAAACCCTCTTTACAGCCTTTCCCCAGAAAGAGCCTGGATCTTCCACCCCGATTAGGGGCCATTCCTTAACAAGCACCAACGCCTTTACCAAGACCCGCCACTTCTTCAAACCCCTATTAGGAGTCTCTCCTCAAAAACCTTTTGTATGTCCAATGACTGAGATTTTCCTTGTAGCGTTACAACTGGCGATTTAAGCCCTTTTTTTTTTGTCACCTCCTCACTCCATGACAAAAAGTTTTTGGGGCGGTGTGCAAAAAAGATTTTCTCGCTCTCGCCCAAACCCCGTCCACGGCTGCTGTTGCTGCGTTGCTGTTGCTGCTGTTTCTGTTCGCTTTGCCGTTGCTGTTGTGCCGGGGACCCCCTTTCGTTTCTCACACTGCGCCGCGATGTGGGCAATCCCCACATAGCCGCACGACGTTGTTGCCCCCCATACGTTACAAAAACTTATCCTTAATTCTTTTTAACACAAATTGAAGGAATAGGGGGCCCAAGAGTCATTTTAAAAAAATGTTACCGCCTTCCCCGCGCACCTGATACGGTCCAGTTGCCCACCCCCCTGCGTGGACGGAACCCCTCCCCTAAGACCATTCACGGGGAAATTCAAAATCAGCGCCTCAAAAAGGGACATTCCTATTTTCACCCGGGTATTCAGATACATCAGAAGTCTCACCGAACAGTTATTAACCTGTTGATGGTTCCTGTTTCTTTTTCGACCCTGCCTCTAACTTGGCAGACGTCTTTAACGAAGATTCTTTTCATTCCATTTAATGCACACCACAATCCCTCATTTTCCCATACCATAGGTATCGCGAAGATCGCTGGTAATAATAAACCATGTTGGGTCCTTGACAGCACCCCCCGGATCTCCAATGCAGAATGTTGATTCTTCTTCTGCTATTCAGCGCCAGTTGGGGAAAATAAAGTTTCCACCAACCAACGCTAGGGCAGCTCAATCGGGAAAAATGTTGTTTTAATTATTTGTATCTTTCCCCGCTCGATCGGTAGCGCACTCGGCTCACACACTGAGATCCGGGGTTCAAATCTCCTCGGGTACGGCTAGAAAACATTAGGGAAGTGTTTCCATTAGATACCTGCTGTCACTGTTCACCCATCAATGTAAAATGGGTACCTGGGTGATAGTCGACTAGTGTGGGTCGCATCCTGGGACGAAAACTGACCTAATTTGTGGGAAATGCTCAGCATAACAAGCAGCTTTCTATATAGTAGTAAGTTATTGATATCAGCTAGACCTGGTTACCATGTATTTGTAGTAAATAAAGTTATTGTTGTTATTATTATTATTCCAGGGAAAATTATAATATATATATATTATATATATATATATATATATATAATATATATATATATATATATATATATATATATATATAATATATATATATATATATATATATATATATATATATATAATAATATATTATATATATATATATATATAAAATTATTATAAATACACCTCTCTATATATAGTATATCCTGTGTACCAATCAATATTACTGAGAACCATGATAAAGTTACTCAATGATTCCTCATAGTGCAGCCTGATAATTCCTTTCCAGGGAATAACATTTTTGTCAGAGCAGATCATCACACTATGATCAGCTCATCATAGCACCTTAACTGTTTTCAAATAAAAAATATTTAGAAAAAATATATAATGTTAGGGTAGTTTAAGTTTAGTGTTGTTTATCCTATAATTCGTAGCGTTTTCTCTATGATGTTCTCCTTTGCTATGTTGTAGGAGTAACTATCCTATAATGACTACCGTTTTCTGTGGGAAGATTTTTCTCTCAGTTTTGGAGGAGTAATTATCCTAAAACGATTATAGTAGTTGTTGTTTATACAAATCAGTTTTACAGACTAAGAGTAGTTATCATACTTCGGCTCATTTCAAAGCCCAGCCATATATGAGGTATACTTCCACCTCACAGCTTAAGATAAGAGATAAGGTTTTTATCCCGAGGGAGTGGTTAGCCACCCAAGATAACCTAGACAGACCTCGCTGCCCCCGTTCACCTAAAAGGAAGTAGGTCTGTCTTATTTCCACTGGGTCCTTTGATCCTAACACCTAGGTTTCTACTTCCTTCTAGGTGAACAGGGGCAGCAGGTGTAAGGAAACATGCCCAACGTTCCCACACATCCCGGGGATTAAGTAAGTTTATTTAGGTACAGGTACACATTAGTACAATTATCATACATAATAACACATATGCAAACTACCCACCAGGAATCCCAAAAAAGGAGAGGTCGAAGTGATGTATTTTCATCGGGGTCATTAAAATATCTTATTATTTAAAGCCAGACTGTAACTTACAGTAAGACAAACACAAAGATTTATTTCTTTGTAAAGGTTATAATGTACAATTACATTTTTGATGAAATTACACATTGTAACATTTTTTAGGGTAAAATCATGCCCCGGCATGATTATGCCCTAAAAAATAAAACGGCTAAGTAACTCAACTGTAAACTGAGTTATTTACACGAACATTAAAGAGAGTATCAGCTTACAATAATAAGTACAACAATGTTAACTATACGAGAAATCACTTTCCTCCTTAACTGTATCTTCATGCATTAGGTACCTTTTAGTTCTCTTCCTAAACTGGCTCATTGAACCACGGGCACTCATTGTGTGAGGCGAGTGCGTTACCAACCGAGCCACGGGACATTAAAAGTTTTTTTCACTTTCTCTTTTAGAGGAGGAACTTATTCAAACTGACAGCGTTGACGTCGTCTTTGAAGTGTGTGGCAACAAACAGGCAAGTTGAAGACCAGGTTAGTTTATTTTAACGAATATCATTTGGAATATTGTATATATATACTGAGAAATATCTTTCTCTTGATGTATATGCACTGGGAGCAGCAGCGTATATGCGCATGGATAAGCATACTGGATATCTTATTACGTATATGCCTCAGAGACCAATCTCTGTTTTAGGAATGAAGGTATTATTGACTGGTGGTGTACAGGTGATATGTAGCCTAGATGACCCTCGTGTAGTCGCTAGGCTTCAAACCTCATATATCAACCAACCAATTATGCTAATAATCGTCACACTCTATATATCTCTCTGGCTGTGTATACTCTGAAAGCAGAAATGTACATACGCTTCGAGGGTTGTATATCTCAGTATTTACATACATAAATTTTAGTGTAACCCCCGTGTTAGGAATTAGTGCCTCTGGCTGGCGGTGTACAGGTGACACACAGCTTTAATCACCGTAAAATAAGGTACATGTGCTGTTTTAGGGGTATTTTAACGAGAAAACGTTTGGCCCCGAAAGACTTCTTCAGTCCTGAAGAAACCAATTCATGGCAAAACGTTTCCTCATTAACATACACCAGTACTGCACACGTATCATATTTCATTTTGTGTTGGTCTTTACAAGTTGCCAAGCCGACAGGCTTGAAACCCAACACACTGACCACCAACGAATGAGAATGTACCGCTTCTCTTTTTTCAATTATGTAACTAAATTTGAACATCTAAGTCTGATTACCATCATAAAATACACACTAGTTATGTGCTCACATCATTTTTTTTTTTTTTTTGGACAGACGAAAAAAAAAAAAAGTGTCGACTTTATTATAGATCATTTAGGTCATAATTCATCTGATAACTTTTACAAAAACACGTAAAAAAATATTTCCCTCTCTATATACATTGTTGATTGTTATTCAGTTTTCTGCATGAATATGAGAAGGTAATTTATATATAATGTAGAAGGTTAGTAATGTGAAAAAAGTTAAATTTATTATTCGCTGACACTGTTTTTCTGGAACTTTTTTTTCACAGTACTAACTTACATTACAGGAAAAATATCTACATTACTGCTGGAACCTGGTCACAGACCGGGCCGCGGGGGCGTTGACCCCCGGAACTCTCTCCAGGTAAACTCCAGGTAAACCTGCGTCGCGCTGATGTACCTACTGTCGTTGATTAATAGGGTTTAAAGGCTATCGACTACACGATTAAGAATATTTTAATCCTTAAAACGGAGATTAATGTAGAGGATACATATATTCCTCGGTATATGTATCCTCCGCTCTTGTTTAATAATAATAATAATAATAATAATAATAGTTGTCGTTGTACCGCAGGTGTTGAGTAGAGGTGTTAGGGCACTGAGGGCAGGAGGGACGTATGTGCTGGCCGGCCTTGTACACTCAAACTCACACATGAACATTAGTGCCCAGGACCTCATCGTCAAGTGTCTCACTGTTGTAGGTATGTACAGGGAGGGGAGGGAGGGACGAAGGGAGGGCAGGGAGGGAAGCAGGAAGGAAAGGAACGAAGGTAGTTACTTGACGGAGGTAGGGAGGTAGGGAGGGAGGTAAAGAGGAAGGGAAAGGTATTTACTGGAAGGAGAGAGAGATTGAGGAAGGGAGGTAGATAGGGAGGAAGGAAGGTACGGGAGAAAATGAGGGAGGGTAGGATAGGATATAGGGAGGGAGAGGTAGAAAAAAGAACGTAAGAAAGGAGGTAGGGAAGAGAAGAGTAGAAGCTTAGGACTGACGAAGAAGGTAGAATACAGAAGGAAGAGATAGAAAAGAGATGGTAGGGAGAAGGGAGGGGAGTGAAAGAAAGGATAAAGGGTTATATAATGAAAGGTTTAGAAAAAAAGGGCGAGTATAAAAGAGATAGAGCAGAAAAAAGAGAAAATGAAAGAGAGAGGAAGAAATGAAAGAGAAGAATGAATGCAAGAAAAAACGCATGAAAATAGAAAGAACAGAAGAAAGGAGATGAAGCCACGGAAACCAGTTGATATTATTTTCCCTGACATCACTGTTAATCCAAGCATCCTGTTATACTTCCTGCCATCACTGTTGTTGATCCAAGGATCCTGTTGTACTCCTTGCTACCACCGTTGTTGATCCAAGGATCCTGTTATTGCACCCCTGGCCAGCAAGATCACTAACGAGAGTTACTCTGCAGGAGTGCACAACTACAGCCAGCAGCACCTGCAGGAGGCAGTCAGGTTCCTGCTTCACCACCACCACAAGTATCCCTTCCATGCCCTCCTGGGACCTTCCTACTCTCTCTCAGACTTTAGGGTGAGTATCCTTACCTATCTGCACTCACCCGTGCATGTTCATTTGCTTGTACTCATTTGTACGCGCTTTCGATTGGTAAAGCACCTGTGGAGCTGGCCAGTTTTTGTGTGACAGGACTTTATACTTATTATACATATTGTGTGTGGTAATATTGATTTACGGTAATGACATTGTAATTTGGAGATTTGCTATAATAACTGCATGTGTTTGCTCCAACTTGTTTTCTAGGTGCCTTGCACTGCATAGTGTTGATGCTGTGATCATGCACGGTGTCCAGAGATATGATTGATATGTTTTGTAATAATGACTGTGGCATTATTGTTCGTCACTGTTTCTCTGCATTTTCAGTTTGTTATTGATAGTAAAGAGTTAATGCAACGTCAGATAGTGAAAATAAAGTTGTGCAACAGTGGGTGTTATAGGTTTGTTGTGGATAGGTGTCGTGCAGGCATCAGTCCTTTTTTTGTGTTACTTGAGTCATGGAATATTTTTATGTTGGTATTGTAACTGTTGTCAATAGCACTATGTAATTTCCATAAAAGCTGTATAGAGCTTGAATGTCATAGTTGAAGCTGTGTGATTGTTTTTAACACTGGAATTGCTGGTATTAAATGTGTAAAGGCTTTACATTGTTGGAATTGAGACTAAGTTATTTTATGGTTTTTAGTAATTTTGTATGTACCCTTGTGACTTTTTATATCACCATTGTTGTGTAAATACAACTTGTTATGTAACTGAACCCGTAGGACAATTAACATAAATAAATTTTGGGTTCATTGCTGTAGGACTTTATATTAGGCAACATTCATTGTTTATAGAATGTTAGGTTAGTAATATTGAGGGGGTGGTTTGATAACCACTAGGGGGGGGGGGGGGAATAATGTCTGAATCATATGGTTCGTGCAATGCATTGCATGGTCTGTAGTCGAATCATTAAGTACCATTCGAGGATGATTTTTTTTTTTTTATAATTTATTTAAAAAACACAATACACATATACATATATGCTTATTCATACGTCTCATAACCAAAGACATGTTAACCATTAAATACTATAAAACAAATCAATCCACGTACATAAATAACACTAAAGCTGAAGCCAATATTACCACCAGCTCACATCCAACACATGACCTACAAAACTCCTCCTCTTAACAATAATTAATAAAGAAGCCATGCAGACAAAAATTATTTACATGCACCGTTCTACTAAGAAATACCTTTAAGGATCCAACATTAGGGTTTTAAAACCCTCACCTCATTTAACCCTCATGATATTTTACCAGAAATTGGTAAAGCAAAAACCAAACAAATCACAAAAAAAAAATAAAAGTAATAGGCAAACAAATATGGACATTACTTTGCATACACACCTGTATAAGCGGAAGGATATACACCCACAATTATAATATCAATATAATAAAGCATCAACCATGAACTTCAAACTGTCATTACATTGCAATAACATGGAGTTTACTCGTTAAAATATAAGAGAATACATTACATGCTGGCTTCCGTTTAGAAATAGCTTAAATAAGTATTAAATATAATCCCAACTAGAATTATCATATAGAACATTTCCCACAACTAACTAAAATCCTGGCTTAAGAAAAAAAAATTTCAACTTGCATAAAATCCTAATCCCTATCTGACACACAAATTAAACATCCTAACATTGTAAATTCACTACATGAATGTGTAAAAGTATTAACAAACTTCTTCTATCTAGAGTACAATTTTGAAAGGAAAGTACTTTTTTATACATGAAAGTGGTTTAAAAACTACAAATAAACAAGCATCATTTCTTATACTAACTTACTCTTGACGTACAGTGTTCCTTGCATAATTTTAATTTTTATAAACATCTCATATCAATAAAGAGGCAGTACTGGCAGTACCAATTTTGTACATGTTTAGTACTGCCTTACATAAAACACCAAACAGCTGCGAAAGCCACCTATCCCCTCAATGAGTCGCATAATAATCCCCACCAAAAAATGTAATTGTATGACTTACCAGTGTTATTGAATGAAACCATGGTACTGAACGCAGAAATCCAAATAAAACCTCAGGAACATAACCAGTTCAGAATGTACCACTCACTAGCTCACTCTCTCATCACCTTCCACACTACTAGCACACAACCTTAACGCCCCCCTCACATTAAAGGAGACCCGTCCCTTGCCCCCCCCCCCCGTTCCCTGAGAAGTTGTAGCTACAGTGAGATAACGATAAACCTACCGAAAAACTTTATTCCATCTTTCCCCATAATAAAAATCTTAATTCCTACACCTATCCTAAAGAACCTTGCAGCTAACAGCTTTTTATCCTCAACTGCCCTTAATCCTGCCTCATACCCCAAAAACGTGCAAATAATCCTGCCATAACATACATCAAAGCCCTCACCCCACGTCACTTTTCAACCCCACTAACATCCATCGACAAAGATCCAAAGAAAAGACCAACTCCCCCAACCAACAAACTAATAACCGCCCGAATCCAGACTCTCACCACGTCCAAAGATGAATCAAAAATATAAACCACATGATAGCATTTTCCTCCTCCCCACAAGAATAAACATGTTGCCCTCTCTCATCCAACTCCCATCTTATGCAACAGGTGCTTAGATTGCAACCTCACCCAGAGGAAACGGTATACCATCTCCCTAACCCGTGCTCGGTATCCTAAACTTCCTGAACCCCCCCATATGATGAACCTCCAGTTATACATGGGTATACTGTGCGACCCCCGCAAAACCCCCATCCCCACACCCACACCCACCACCGGTTTAACCTCAAACTTTAACCTGCCCCACTGTCAACAAGAATCTTATAACATCCTTCACACTTTCCCAAATACCTACACACCAAATTTTCTAAGCATCCCTCACACCCTATTTCCACCCCCCCCTAAAAACAAACCCCTCTCCCCCCCCACTCTTTAGATACCTCAGCTTGATATATATGCCATTACCCTTAGGCCCCTAAGGCAACAATCCTAAGACCCCCCCGTGTCACCTCCTTTCTTGACCCACATCCTTGGACAACCAGGCCCTCCCAAACACCCACAACAAACCTCAACCAACACCCTCCTCTGAATTTTCCTGTATATCGGCATCCCTCAAAGGTAACACCTCCCCACACCCCAACCTACTATACACCACCGATATTATTTTACCAACGCCCTCTGCTGTAACGCCACTTCACGACCCTCAAACCTTTTCTTACCTATAACCCCTATCGTGACTGTTTCTGAGTTAAGCCTCCTACCAATCTGCAACTCTTCATTACCATATCCACACACCCTAATTCTGTCAACAAATCATCCATCCCATCCCTCCCCAATCTCCCCCCCAACCCATGTTCCTACATCCAATATCCGAGACTTTGCTAAATTAAACTGGCCATTCCTGAAAGCTTCCCAAAACTCCTTATCACCCTCACCACACCCTTCTTAAAGCCATTCCCCACTCGTAACAAAACAGTTGAGTCATCTACATAACTACTATTCCCCCATTCTTCCCCCCCTACCCCCTGCAATTTCTCCTCCGCAGCCCTCCAAGAAGGATGTTGCACACATGCAAAGAGCAACTGCGACAGCGGCAACCCTTGCCTTAATCCCCTGTACCATCATCCCTCACCCCCCCAGCTTACCAAAAACCCAGCACCCTTCAAGACAGCCCCCTCAACAGAGTGCGCACACACCACCCACTACCTACCCCCCCTCCAAACCCAATTTCTCTCCAAACAATCCCCACAAAAAGTCCCTCTTCCCACAGTTCATAAGGCCTGATCCCAAATCCAATCCAAGGAACGCCCCCTCCCTGGCAGTTCTCTATAAAATCCCTTATTCACACAGTGCCATTCTTCATAGTCCGTCCGGTATCCCATACTGCCCCCTCATGTACGCTTACTTCCCAATTACCTTCTTTAATCGAATACCCAATACCTTCGCAAAAATTTTGTAATCCGTACACATTAACGAACAACGGACCGATAATCTCCAAACCCTTCTCCTCTCCCCCCTTCTTTGGCACCAAAACAACAACCCCCAGTTCTCTGTGTTTTTCGCCATTTCTACCACTTTTTCATCATATAATTCAAAACACCGCCACTAGCACCCCTGAGATCCTCCCAATGTGCTCCTGTAAAAATCATTAGATAACCCATCTATTCCCGGTGCCTTGCCCCTGACTCACCCATTCAACCACCTCCCCCCCCTGCCCACCGTAATGGCCTCCCTCCAACATAACCAACCCCTATCCCCCTGCCCCCACCCTGCTGCACCCCTAAAGCTCTAAATGATTCTAACCCACCCACCCCTCCCCCTTCTCTTCCATCTCTACGTAAACGCAAAAATCAGCATACCTACAGATAAACTCCTGTGTCAGCGAGACCCTGTCCTGCACAAAACCCTCCCCTCCCTCCACGACAATATGTTTTGCCACCGAATTCCTAAACTGTCTGTCTTTTGATTTTCGGAGTACATACCCGGTTTGGTCTATCACCCTTTAGTACATCCTCCAATCCTGCCCTAAACGCCTGAGTGCATCAAAACGTTTCAATATGCATCACTCCACTAAACGAACTTCTAAAGGTTCCCCCATAAACTCCTCCCACACCCTCCCCTACCCCAATCCCCCCACCCCCAAACAATCATTCAACTGGCCCTCTAAATAATTATGCAATCCAAACCTCCATCGTGCCCGTTCCCTGCCCCTCTTTTAAAAATTCCCGCAATCTGACCTTTTGCCTGCAACTCCCACCAATCCAGCAAATCCACCTCCTCATGCCCTAGCCTCCCAAAACCCTTTTCCACCATGTCTGAAAGGACCAACCTTGATCTTCCTCCTGTAAAAGCCTCACATTTAATTTCCAATAACTCTGAACGGATCTCGGAATGCCATCCCCACCCGATGTCCAGCCAACACTGCTCTGTGGTTCAGATAAACCCACGTCTACTGTTCTAACCCTCTTCCACTCCTATCCCCTGCCCTCACAAAAATCCTAACCAACCTTGCCTCATACTCCCCTGTACATAGGTGTGCCACCTGAAACCCACCCCCTGCCGACCACCATCTACAACCCGACAATCAACGCAATGCATCCCGTAAGACACCCAACACGCACCCCGCCCCCCTAGGTATGACCCGTCTGCATGCCTAATCACCACAATTCCAATCACCTCCAATTATCGCGATAGCATGTAAACCCTGAGATAGTATAACAATACATCCCGAACAAAGTCCTGTTTATCCCGCACTTACCAATCGCTGGCTATATAAACTCACAAAACATACCCTGCTCTCCCTCTCCCCCCACTCACCCATCCACCCGAACAACCTCTCCCCCCTCCCCCCTCCACCCCCCCAATGACTCGCAATGGACATGGTCAACCTTTACTAAAACCACCACACACTCCTTTTAAAAGCATTGCCATGCTTACAAACAACTTATAAGCCTCTCAATCGCAACTCACTACCTGACTTATGGTTAAGCCCTGTAAGAAACAAACCTCCCGTCATACCTTTTGAGGAACCACTCCAACCATAACCCTTTTTTACTTCAGTCTTTAAGCCATTATCATTTAACGTTAAACACCTGAATGGTCCAGGAAAAGGCGGCTTACCTCAGTGCCGCTGTGCTTGCTTACACTCCCCTTCAAGCTGTCTCACACTTTCCTTATACATTATTTTCATAAGACCCCCTACCCCCCCTTGTCTCTCCCCCCCGATTTTCCTGTACTCCCCCCCCTGTAGGGATTTGCCGAACCACCTCTGCCCCATGCCTTCTTACCTGGTCTTTGACCCAGGCGTTTAAAAACGTCATCTAATTCAGGTCAGCCCCGCTGGCCGCTTTTCCTAGAGCTTCCTCCCCCAGCCATCTATTCCCAGTACATCCTCCCTGTGCACCTCTGCCACACAATTGTATCCTTTCTATTATACCCTGCTACTTCCGTCTTCTCTTCTCTGGCCCCTTGCAATTTGCTGCTTTTCACTGGTCCGTCCCCCATGTCCTCTCCAACCAAAGCTCTCCAAGAATTCCTGGAGCACTGACCTCCAAGGCCACCTCCTGTGGTCGACTCCACCACTTCCGCCACCCACCACAGGCGTTGGAGTAAGGAAACTCCATCCTCCACCGTGAGAGTGACACACGTCCCCATACATTCACCCTCCTTCTCCACCTCCTCACTTTCCATAGAGGAGTCCCCAGACTTCGCCGCCTCCACCACACTCGCTTGCTGGAACCTCCTCTACCAACCGGGGCTGACACCCCTGGGGCAACTCTGCTTGCACATGCGCCGCTAATATATGTCATAAGAGACACAAAGACGACACGTTCTCCCTGCCCCACATACGAGACATATACCTATTTCTGGTACCTCGTCAACATAATAAACGAAGGTATATGGCTCGTCAAGGTCATCTTGATGTTGATGACCCCTCCGGGAGGCCCTCATATGGTCCATCCCGCCATACCCTCTCTCTAGCTTCATGAATGACTCCATATTTTCTAAACTTTCCACTATACTTAACTTAGTTGCTCAAAGGGTACATTCCTCACATCGTACCCACGTGTAGTAAGTTAGACCACTTCATGCATGCATACATCCAACTTCGAGTTGAGGCACAAATTCGGCGTTCCCTGTACTCCTCCACCACACTGCTGTAGTAACTAGTCCTCATGAACTCACAAAAACTTCGTCCTCAATCCCATTAAGAGCACACCCATACAGCTCCTCATTAGGATACCATATAAATCCCTAATAATCGCAGGAAGAAGGACGTTCGTCCGAATCATGCTCAGAGAACCCTTCCAACAGCTCAATGCCATACAGTATAAATTCTCCAGCCGGTGTACTCCGCCATGTCTGAACAGTGCAAATGCGCATAACAGGTGAATTAGGAGGCTACTGCGGCAGTGCTATATTCCCCGCACGGCCCAACAGAGATGTGCGAACAATGAGAGGGGATGTGTAATATAAAAGTGTTGTTCATATCACGTAATTCTGTGGTATCTAGCTCCAATAACAGGTTTGGTTTACGTGATAGGATTAGGAGCACGGAGGGGGGGGGGTGTAACCCACACGGAGTTGTAAGGTGGTTTGTAACAATAGCTGTAGGGAGGATTGTGTTTAAATTATAGACTTAAATGAGTTTTACATATTATATTTTGTAATGTCATGTTTAAAATAAAATTATAAAAAAAAAAAAAAAAAAGCTCCAATATTGAGGTCCGTGGTTCGATCCCCGGTACGGGTGAAAATTAGGATGTGACCCCTTAAGACACTTGTCCCTGTTCACCTGTCGGTAAAAAATAGGTGCCTGGTGTTAATCGACTGGTGAGGGTCCATCCAGGGACAAAATTCCCGAAACGCTCTGCATAACAAATGCTACAAAGCGGTTTGGTTATCGCGGCCAACTCGATTATCACGGGGTTTTTCGAGCCGGGTTATCAGCCGTTTTTGACGTGTCGGATCCACTGGCTAGGGCATCTTGCACTTCGTTTGGTTTGTCTATGAGTGGCAGATGAAGCTTCTGTCAGACAACCAAAACATTTCGCTTGTTTACCATTGTTTTTAGTGGTTTTTCTTGCAGTGCAACTGTGAAATAAGCATCCATTGGATCCAAAAAAAAAAAAGTTCCTATAAAGATCATGTGATAAAGAAAGATGAAAACACCATTGAAATTAGCATGAAGTGATAGAAAACTTTTGAGAGGTATGAAGGTGGGGAACTTGCCAGGATGTACAGCAAGAAAATCAACAATTACATTCAGCCTGGCAAAAGCAAGAACATTCAAAGATGCGAATGGTGCAAAAGAGTAACTTAACTAAACAAAGGACACTGATAATGGAAGAGATGGAAAAGTTATTATTATTGTGGATTAAAGAAAAAGAACTAGTGGGATTTCAGCGTAGTGAGTCGATCATTTGTGAGAGCAAAGCAGTTGCATGAAGTTCGTGCAATAGAAAATACCTGAAACAAGTGCGCAGTGTTGTGAAATAAGGCCAGCAAGGATGTTTGGCTATATAAAAGAAGCGGTAAATGCGAAAACAGGGCTACAATACCCAGGAGGAAAAGGTACTGCCAGGATACAAGCACTATTGAAAGACAGGCTTACTCTTTAATAGTGTGGTAATGCTAGTGGGGATTTCAAAGTGAAGGGGGCCTTTACTTTCTGTAACACTCCAGAAAATATCCCAGAGTGTTTAAGAAAAACAAAGTCATGGAAGAATAGATGTGTGTGATGTGAAAAGCTAATCATAAGGCATGGATCACAAGGGCAAATTTTTCAAAGAGTGGGGTTAATGATTTGTTGGCCCAAGTGTGACAAAAATACCTCCTGGAACAAAATTGCCACACTAGTGCCTCCAGGTACTGAATTTCCAGCACATCCTCCAGACTTGGAAGACCAAGTGTTTAGGGACTTCAGTTTTATAAATAAGTGAAGTTCATGCCTCAAACACCACTCCTCTCCTCCAGCCCATGAAGAGCAGGTCATTTCTAACTTCAAAAACTCTACACATAAGCAGTGTTTCAAAAGTGATTTGAAGTGGACCCACGGACCTCGTTTGAACTAAGAAGTTACTGGAGGAATCACTTCACTATTTCTCCAATGCATAAGCCTTATAGGTAAGGCATGGGAGGGAGTGACTTCCAGACATTAACTCGCTTGATAAAACTGTTGCCATATTGTGATCCAAGAGAGGGATATTGAAGGGTTTGAGGCTGACCCTGACCCTGACCCTCCCGACCCTGTGGACTCTATTGTGGAACTGGGTAAGTCCCTGGGGTTGGAGGTGAGTGGCGAGGATGTGGAAGAGTTGGTGGAGGACCACAGGGAAGAGCTAACCACTGAAGAGCTGCAAGAGCTTCGACTTGAACAGCAACAGATTGCAGCTGAGGAATTTGCTTCAGAGGAGGAGGAGGAGGAGGAGGAAGAGGGAGTGAAGGAGGTGCCTTCTTCAGAGATTAAAGAGGTGTATGCAATGTGGACCAGGGTGCAGGGTTTTATAGAGAAACACCACCCAGACAAAGCTGAAACAAGCCATATCTGCAACATGTTTAGTGACAAAACCCTGTCCCACTTCAGGGAAATCTTAAAGAGAAGCCAGAAACAGAGCACTCTGGACAGTTATTTTGTGAAACAGGGCTCCAGTGACTCTCAAGCTGGTCCTAGTGGCATTAAAAGACAGAGAAGGGAAGTAACCCCAGAGAAGGCTTTGCTACCTAGTCTTCATGGAGGGGGATTCCCCTTCCAAACACTAACTCCTCCCTCTTTCCTCCTCCCTATCTTCCAGAAGCCAGCATTAGCCTTCAAATAAAGGTATGTAATACTTGCATAATCGTAAAAAAAATTTATTTTTTTGTGAATATTTTTGTTGGGAACTAATTAATTGTATTTCCACTAATTCTTATAGGAAATATTAATTCGGTTATCGGCCGACCTTCAGGAACAGATTATGGCCGATAACCAGGGGTAAACCGATGTCAGTGATGTCAGCTAGGCCTATATACCTTGTACATGTACTTGTAGAAATAAATATTATTATTGTTATTATTATTAGTACTAGCCTGTTTGAACTATTGGTAAAGTAGTAGAGGCAGTATCCATGCCTAGCTTTAAGAAGAGGTACGATAAGGTTCTAGCGGCCAGGAGAGAATGAACCGAGTTGCGGCGGGGCCAGGAGCTTGAACTCGACCCTTCTGCAACTGCCAGGTGTTGTGTATTTGTACTCTCCTCTTTCTGCTTTCAGGGGAGATGGAATCGAGTCTCGGCCTCAAACGGCCACACATATTTCCACGACTCGCTGGGACCATCATACTTACTCCTAAAACTGTTTATGGTCGTTGTTTCCAACACTTCTTTATCCATAAACTGTCTCTGCCCTGTCGAATCCTCAGAGTATCTTATACGTCATAACCATGTCTCCTATGGTTCTCCTCTCTTGTAGTTTTGTACATGGTATTGTGAAGTGTGTTGAGTCCATTATTATTATTATTTTATATTATTATTATTATTTTATATATTATTATTATTATTATTATTATTATTATTATTATTATTGTTAATATTAGTAATATTAATATTATCTTTTTTTTTTACTTTTGTTAATATTGTCATTATTGTTATTGGTATTATTATTAATTATTATTATATTATTATTTATTTTTTATTATTATTATTTATTATTATTATTATTATTATTTTGCTATTGTTCCTATTGTTATTTATTTTAGTGTTCATATTGTTATTATTATTATTATTATTTATTATTATTATTATTATTATTATTATTATTATTATTTTGTCATTATTATTATTATTATTATTATTATATTAAAAACCTGTTCCAAACCCGTATGGGTCATGAATGTTTCTTCTTGCACAGAACGCTGTTGAGGTGGCTCGCTCTGGTCAGTTCCTCCGAGTTGCAGTCAACCCGCAGCTATAGTCTGTGTGAGAGAGTCCAAAACCTGGCACTCACAAGACCTAGCACTCACAAGACCTGGCACTCACAAGACCTGGCACTCACAAGATTTGGTACTCACAAGACCTGGCACTCACAAGACCTGGCACTCACAAGATCTGGTACTCACAAGACCTGGCACTCACAAGACCTGGCACTGCCAAGACCTGGCACTCTGGCACTGCCAAGACCTGGCACTCTGGCACTGCCAAGACCTAGCACTAACAAGACCTGAAGCTCCCACTTGTGGTGGACCCGGTGGACCGTTTTGCCGGTCCTGTCCTCCTGCATCCAGAAGTCACTGTCCTTGCTAGACACGCGTCCATAGTTCCATGTGTTTGTTCTGTCTTTGTTCACCTATAATGTTCATGTTGGGCTGAGAGCGCTGATATCATCTCCAGGATCTGTCAGCGCTAAGTGACGCTCTCAACATAAAGGCTTCAACTCTACTTGCAAACTTTACTTGCCAACTCTCCGTCGTAACTTATGTTTGCATATTGTTCGCAAACTCTCGTTAAAAAAAGGAAAACCTTATAAACTTACGTTTATATATATATATATATATATATATATATATATATATATATATAAAATATATATATATTATATATTTTATATATATACATATACATATTATATATATATATATATATATATATATATATATATATATATATATATATATATAAAATATATATATATTATATATATATATATATATTATAAATTATATATATATATATATATATATATAATATATATATATATATATGGGGTCCACCTCTGGTGTAAATTGTGGGACCCATAGCCTCGGAGAAGTGGATAAAAAGGCTTCAAGGAAGAATATTTGGATTTCTTCCTGAAGCCATTTGAATACTCCACTTCCCCTACCACCCCATCTTTTAAACTATTTTTTTTTACCAATAGGAATATTTTATTACATAATATATATATATATATAATATTATATATATATATATATATATAATATATATATATATATATATATATAATATATATATATATAATAAATATTATTATCACACTGGCCGATTCCCACCAAGGCAGGGTGGCCCGAAAAAGAAAAACTTTCACCATCATTCACTCCATCACTGTCTTGCCAGAAGGGTGCTTTACACTACAGTTTTTAAACTGCAACATTAACACACCTCCTTATAGGTAGTAGGTTGGTAGACAGCAACCACCCAGGGAAGTACTACCGTCCTGCCAGATTACTGTGAAACAGAAACCTGTAACTGTTTTGCATGATGGTAGGATTGCTGGTTTCTTTTTCTGTCTCATAAACACGCTAGATAACAGGGATATCTTGCTACTCCTACTTACACTTTGGTCACACTTCACAGACACGCACATGCATATATATATACATACATCTAGGTTTTTCTCCTTTTTCTAAATAGCTCTTGTTCTTCTTTATTTCTTCTATTGTCCATGGGGAAGTGGAAAAGAATCTTTCCTCCGTAAGCCATGCGTGTCGTATGAGGCGACTAAAATGCCGGGAGCAATGGGCTAGTAACCCCTTCTCCTGTAGACACTTACTAAAAAAGAGAAGAAGAAATATAAATATATATATATATATATAATAATATATATATAATATATATATAATATTATAATAAGTATATATTATATATATATATATATATATTAATATATATATATATATATATATATTATATTATATATATATATATATATATATCATAATGGTGATATCATTCCGACAAGTTTGGAATAACACACGTGCAACAAACCGGTATCCAGACTCGGTAGAAGTGTCGCCCACCAATGCCTGTACATCACACACACTGTAATGTTACACTGTACACCTTCATACACTGTACATCACAGCAATGTACAACCACACACACTGTAACCACACTAAACACTGTACACTATACAATGTACATCACACTGTACACCAACACGACAACTGTACCCTACACACTGTAACAACCACACACTGTACACCACTGTACATCGAACACTGTACACCACACACACTGTAGTATCGCACTGTACATCACACTACACACACTGTACATGACACACTGTACACCACAAACTGTACACTACACACTGTACATCACACACACTGTACACTACACACTGTACATTACACACTGTACATCACACACTGTACATCACACACTGTATATCACACACTGTACACCACACAATGTACATCACACATTGTACACCACACACTGCGCACTGCACATCACACACTGTACATTATACACACTGTACACCACACACTGTACGCCACACACTATACACAACACACTGTACACCATACCCTGTACATCACACATTGTACATCATACACACTGTACATCACACACTGTACATCACACACACACTGTACATCATACATTGTACATCACACACATTGTACATCACACACACTGTACATCACATACACTGTACATCACATACACTGTACATCACACACTGTACATCACACACTGTACATCACACACACTGTACATCATACACTGTACATCACACACTATACATCACACACTGTACATTACACACTGTACATCACACACTGTACATCACACACTGTACATCACACATTTTACATCACACACACTGTACATCACACACACTGTACATCACACACTGTGCATCACACACTGTACATCATACACACTGTACATTACACATTGTACATCACAAACACTGTACATCACACACTCACTGTACATCACATACTGTACATCACACACACTGTACATCACACACTGTACATCACACACACTGTACATCACACACTGTACATCACACACACTGTACATCACACACACTGTACATCACACACTGTACATCACACACTGTACATAACACACACTGTACATGACACATTGTACATCACACACACTGTACATCACACACTGTACATCGCACACACTGTACATCACACACACTGTACATCACACACTGTACATCACACACTGTACATCACACTATAACCCGTTTGGTGTTCTGGTAGCGGGGAGTAAATGATAAGTCTTCGGAGCTTCTTTATTGTTAAGTCATGGTGGGTACACAGGCTTGTGTGTTGTGCCCATGGCCCGGGCAGGGCCATCCCACGAGAGAGAGCTAGGTGTAGGTCTTGTGTCTTCCTGCTAGGCCGCTGTGAGAGTGAGAGCGAGGCAAGGGCAGGCAGGCTGCCGTGCCCACCGAGAGGCCTAGCTACAGAGGGCAGCACCTTAGTGCCACGAAATACGAACTAAGCTGGCAGACAGCATGGGCTGTCTGTGCAGACAGTACATGCTGTCTACAACACACATCGACATCACACACTGTACATCACACACTGCACATCACACACTGTACATCACATACACTGTACATCACATACACTGTACATCACATACACTGTACATCACACACTGTACATCACACACTGTACATCATATACACTGTACATCACATACACTGTACATCACACACTGTACATCACACACTGTACTTCACATACACTGTACATCACATATACTGTACATCACACACTGTACATCACACACTGTACATCATACACTGTACATCACACAGTGTACATCACACACACTGTACATCACACACTGTACATCACACACTGTACATCACATACTGTACATTACACACTGTACATCATACACTGTACATCACACACTGTACATCACACACTGTACATCACACACTGTACATCACACACTGTACATCATACACTGTACATCACACACTGTACATCACACACTGTACATCCCACACTGTACATCACACACTGTACATCATACACTGTACATCACACACTGTACACCACACACTGTACATCACACACTGTACATCATACACTGTACATCACACACTGTACATCACACACTGTACATCACATACACTGTAAATCACATACACTGTGCATCACACACACTGTACATCACACACTGTACATCACACACTGTAGATCATGCACTGTACATACACTGTACATCACACACTGTACATCACACACTGCACATCACACACTGTATATCATACACTGTACATCTCACACTGTACATCACACACTGTACATCACATACACTGTACATTGCACACTGTACATCACACATTGTACATCACATCCACTGTACATCACACACTGTACATCACACACTGTACATCACACACTGTACATCATACACTGTACATCACACACTGTACATCACACACTGTACATCACATACACTGTACATCACACACACTGTACATCACACACACTGTACATAACACACTGTAGATCATGCACTGTACATACACTGTACATCACACACTGTACATCACACACTGCACATCACACACTGTACATCATACACTGTACATCTCACACTGTACATCACACATTGTACATCACATACACTGTACATCACACACTGTACATCACACCTTGTACATCACATACACTGTACATCACACACTGTACATCACACACTGTACATCACACACTGTACATCACACACCATACATCACACACTGAACATCACACACTGTACATCATACACTGTACATCACACACTGTACATCACATACACAGTACATCACACACTGTATATCACACACTCTACATCACACACTGTACATCACACACTGTACATCACACACAGTACATCACACACTGTACATCACGTAAACTGTACATCAAACACTGTACATCAAACACTGTACATCACACACTGTACATCACACACTGTACATTACACTGTACATCACATACACTGTACATCACACACTGTACATCACACACTGTACATTACACTGTACATCACACACTGTACATCACACACAGTACATCACACACTGTACATCACATACACTGTATATCACACACTGTTCATCACACACTGTACATCACACACTGTACATCACACACTGTACATCACACACTGTACATCACACACTGTACATCACACACACTGTACATCACACACTGTACATCATACACTGTACATCACACACTGTACATCAAACACTGTACATCACACACTGTACATCACGCACTGTACATCACACACTGTACATCACACACACTGTACATCACACACACTGCACATCACACACTGTACATCACACACTGTACACCACACACTGTACATCACACACTGTACATCACACACTGTACATCACACACTGTACATCACATACACTGTACATCACACACTGTACATACACACTGTACATCACACACTGTACATCATACACTGTACATCACACATTGTACATCACACACTGTACATCACACACTGTACATCACACACACTGTACATCACAAACTGTACATCACATACTCTACATCACACACTGTACATCACACACTGTACATCAAACACTGTACATCACACACTGTACATCACATACTGTACATCACACACTGTACATCACACACTGTACATCACACACT